CATGAAGTGGGAGCAGGGAGGTGGGGATAGAGATGGGGTTGAATATGATCAAAATATATTGTATGAAATTCTCAAACATCAATAAAAATTTTATTAAAAAAGAAAATCTCCAAGGCTTGGAGAGATGGCTCAGCAGTTAAGAGCAAGGGCTGCTCTTACAGAGAACCCAGGTTCTGTTCTCAGCACCCACAAAGCAGCTAACAACGGTCTGTAACTCCAATTCCTCGGAGATCTGACACCCTCTTCTGATCTCCATGGGCATTGCACAACACGGGTGCACTTACATATATGCAGGCAATACATGCATACACATAGTATAAAATTAATAAAATATTATCTTAAGATAATCTCCCACAGATATACCCCAGGCTAAGCTGATCTAGATAATTCCTCAATGGAAACTCTTTCCAGGTGATTCTAGGTTGGGTGAAGTTGACAGTTAAAACTTCGAGGAGCTTTTGGCTACCACGTGCTTCCTGGTGCAGTGCCTATTTATTTATTTATTATTTATTTATTTATTTATTATTTGTATGAGAGTTTCACCTGCATGTATGCAAGTGAACTACATGCATGCAATACCAAGACAGGCCAGAAGAGGGCATCGGATCCCCTGGAACTGGAGTTACAGACAGTTGTTAGCGGCCATGTGGGTCCTGGGAATCGAACCCGGGTCCACTTCAAGAGCAGGCAGTGCTCTTAATCACTGAGTCATCTCTCCAGCCCCTGCAGTATTCTCAAACACACCCCTTCAAGGTCCCAGCTCAGATGCCACCTCATTCAGGAAGCCCTCCCTGACTGCTGATTTCACACTTGCACACCACTGTGGCCCTCTCCCGCTTGACAGTTCGTGGCAGAGCCTCCCTCCTGGGCAACTCCTGGCTTCCTGGTGGTGAACGTTCCTGCACTAGGACCTGGTACATCTCAGGACAAGTGTCCCCTGACTGTGCCTATGTGTGCCACCTACACACAGACAATAGTCAGGACACATGGAAAAAACATGAGTGGCACCCAGGGAACAAGAGGAGGGGAGGAAAGAGGCCTGTGCCTGATGTGCCTCTCCTAACGCATCCAGCAGAGCCAGGCCTACATGGGCAGAGGGAGGAGGGCCAACGTCAAGACCGCGAGTGAGAGAGGGAGGTAGCCCGCGGAGCCACAGCAAAGGTGTTGACAGGAACCTGCCCACTGGTGACAGAGCTGGGGTTGGCACCAGGGATAGGAATCGGGGTGAGAGGAGGAGGCTGGGAACGGAAGCTGTCGAGGCCCACACTCCATTGATCCAGGTCCGTACCCAGCAGCTCAGGTGTGAGCAGAGCATCCAGCTGGGCAGCTCACGTGTACAAGTCCTCTGAGCTCAAGAGGAAGGCTGGGCGTGTCACTGACAGATGGTGGTGGTGGGTGACAGGCCACTCGTGAGACTGGGAGAAGCAGGTGAGACTACATACTGAATACTGGGGGTGTTGCATGTAACCATGGCATGTGTTAGGTGCCACTACTGCCCCGGGGTGCACAGCTGCATGCTCCCCCTCCCACACCCTTGTGGGGTTTCTACGCTGGAGCTGATACGCGTTTTCTCCTGACAGAAGTGAGGTGGACTGGAAACAGGAATTCCAGGAAGGATCCTTTCCAGATGAGTTGATCAGGATAGGAACTGGTTACCTTGCTGGATTTAGCAGACTCAAGGGTAGCCAGGCCTCCAGGGAGTGCACAGTGTTGCAGTGACAGCGTATGACCAGATCCGATGTGCAGTGAAGAGTGAGGCTCAGAGAGGCAAAGCAAGCGGTGGAAACGGCACAGCTCAGACCCAGAGGCGTGCTCACAGCCCCCAAGGCTGTGCCCATCAGCCATTTGTCTGACAGTCACCCCAGGGGTGCTGCATTCCAACTTCAGGTTCAAAGTTCTGCAGGGGTGCTGCTGGGTTGGATGGAGCTGCAGTTCCAGAAGATTCCTTCTACACACAGACCTAGCAAATATTCCTTTCTAGAATCCTACCTGAGCAACACATACCGAGGGCCAGAGTATAATCTTTAGCTCCCTTCCACTCTCTTTAAGCAGGAAGAAACCCAGGCCAAGAGAGCTGGCTTCCATGAGCCTTGTGGGTAAAGGGGGTGGACCAACCCGAGTGGCTCTGCGCTGTAAGGCAGAGGCGCACACATCAGAACATGCCCTGCCCAAGGCTGACAACCTCCCGCCTCCCCTTCCCAAGGCAGGTGGAGCATGAAATCACTGGATAATTTTAGACACTGCAAACAAATGTCGTAAGCTCCTTGCTTCTGCCTCGTGGTGCCTTAAGTCATCAGACACTGAGATGAACTCGGGGTGTGAAGGCCTCACCCTGCCACCCACCTGCCCAGGACACAGGCTGGGACAGGTCGGAGTTTGCTGGCTGCATACCTGTCACTCCACACTTGTCCTGGGGACACTTGTAAACCCCTTAGAGCTCAGAATATGAAGGCTGGAGGCACTCACGCTACTCCTGCGGAGGACACACTATTTAAGCCCCGGCACGCGTCCTTATTTTAAGTAGGGTCTGATTTTTAACAAGCATTCTAACTTTACATGGCGGAAAGACTGACTTGGCATTTTTCGGTGTTTTGGATCTAACAGCTGTCGGCAATGACAAAGCTGTTCTGCTTTCTGTCATGGCTGCTCCGGACCACTGCCTGGCCCTGGAGACCAAACAGGGCCCCCTGCACTTTCGCGTTGCCCCTGGATACTGCTGATTCTGCTGGGTACTCTTTCCGTATAGATTTAGGCTTTCAAGATTTGGGTTCAGGCCAACTGAACCCGTCTTGCACCAGCTCCAGCGCGGTGACAGCCCCACACGCAGATTCTGAGCACTAAATGCTTGTGTCTGTGATCCAGCAAGAACCCTGAGTGGACCTGAGACAGAAACAAGACCCACCTCTCCCTGGGTACTGTGCAGGTGTTAAGTACTCCTAACACTCCAATCACTGGCAATGTTAAGTTTGTATTTTAAGCATCCCTTCTGATGCTGTTTCCTGTAAATAAGTAAAGATCTGAGCATGGAGTGATTCGACTCCCTAGTTAGCAGCAGACAGACTCTCACTTACCGCCCTGATTATCAGGCTAACAGCCGGCTGGACTGCCCTCACGCCTCACCAGTCATGTTGAACAGGCCACAGATGCCTTCAGAGTATGCAAAGCTTGCAGCTCACTGCCCGCTCAAGACAGCCTCGGCAGGGGCCGTCTGAAATCCTTGATAGACTCTGCAGTGACAGGACTGATGAACTCTAGATGGCCCTACAACGGGGTTGTAGTTCCCCTGGTGACCTAGAAAAGGGACTCTCAGGACTGGGGCTAAGGCCAGGCTGTGATTGGTCTGAGCAGATGGCTGGGAGTGGTCCACACACCCCTTCTGAGCTATGTAACAGGCTGCTCAGGTCACTCAGGGAGTCACTGGAAGACACTCTCCTGGGCTGCCTCCCCTGGTGTCAGCCTTAGGCCCAACGAAAGCCTTCTCTCTAGGGGTCTTTTCTGTCTGCTTTCAGAAGTGTGGGCTGAGCTGGCAACGTGGAAACGCGGGCGCACAGGGCGGCACAAGGGCTGAGCAGTGGGCCGGCTGAGCCCGGAAAGCTGCAGGGTGACCGACTGACATGAAGACCCTGCGGGACGGCAGAAGCAGCAGCTGTGTTCAGCACCTGCCTTCCCCAGCAGTCCTGCCAGGTCCCCAGGCCAGCAGCTCCGGTAGGAGCCGCCATGGAGAGCAAGGTGGATACAGATGATAGACATCCACATGGATTCTAGGAATCGGAATTCCAGGGCTTGGGATCATGCCACAACTGCTTTATCCACTGAACCATCTCCCTGGCCCCGGATGGTTTTTGGTCTATTACTGGAGAGTTGGGGTAACAAGGGAGAAACAAAGACCAAAGATAGGTAAATAGATACAGATATGGCTAGTTGATAGATGATTGATAGGTAGATAATTGACTGATTGATAGGTGATAGGTAGAAAAATTATTGATTGATTGATTCATAGATGATAGGTAGATAGATGATTTATTGATAGGTGATAGGTAGAGAGATGATTGATAGATGGCAGATGAATGATAGATGATATAGAGAGAGCTAGATTGATTGACTGATTGATAGGTGATAGGTAGATGATAGATGATATATAGAGAGCTAGATTGATAGATTGACTGATTGATTGATAGGTGATAGGTAGATGATACAGAGAGAAAGACTGATAGATGAACTATAGATATTTTGATAGATGACATTATATATGATAGGTAGATGGAAAGATGGGCATAGAGACAGACACAAAGAAAAAGACTCAACTTGCCTGCAGATGGAACCAGCAGGCTCCGAAGGGCACCCTGCTATCAAATAGTGAGGACTGAATGAAATGTGGTCTTATTTACTGTCTTAAGATGAAATGACCCCACACTGTCCCCAGCTGATGGGCTTCTGGGAAGTGATTCGATCCTGGGGGCTCTGACCTCATCGATGGATTACCTCCTTGATGGGTCAGACTATCAGGGCCGTGCTGGGAGGTAGCTAAGCTGGGAGGTGAGGCCCAGCTTGAAGCAGGTGCAGGGGCATCCTTGGACCTGTATCCTGCCCTGGCCCATCCGTAGCCCCTTTGTCTGTGTCCTGAAGTCATGAGCTGCTCCACTCTGTCTCTCTGCCATGATGGACTGACGTCAGGAGCAAAACAAAGCCTTCCTGCAAGTATTTTGCCTCTGACCTCCAGTGCTGTGTGGACTGGGGCTTTTCTTCCTTTTTCCTGTGTATGTGGTGTGAATGGATGCAGATATGCATGTTTACGTGTGTGGGCACGTGTGCATGCAGCGTGCACTTGCACATGTGCATATGTGTAGAGGCCTGACGTTGACACTGTCTTTCAGGGTCGCTCTCTCCTATATTACTGAGGAGGGTGTCCCGCTGAACTGGCGTCTGCCAATTCCAGCTAGTTTAGCAGGCCAACTCGCTCTGGGAGTCCCTGTCTCTGCCTCCCCAGTGTGGGAATTACATGCAGCTGCCTGCCCGACTTTCACACAGATTCTAGGATCTGAACGGCAGTCCCTGAGCTTGCTTGACAAGCACTTTACCCCCTGAACCGATGCCAACTAGTTTATTCCACTGACCCACACTGACTGGAGAGTCGGAGTGACTCTGAAGAGACAATAGCCAGGACTCAAAAACTACAGTTCCTGGGGCTGGGGAGACGGTCCAGTGGTTAGAGCACCAGCTGCTCTTGCAGAGGACCCAGGTTCGGTTCCCAGCACCCATATGGTGGCTAACAGTCATCTGTAACTCCAGTTCCAGGGGATCTGACACCCTCTTCTGACCTCCAAGGACACTGCACACACAGGTGCACTTACACACATGCAGGTAAAACACTCATATACATAAAATAAATTTTGTTTTTAAATTACACTGTTCTCAGCCAGGAGTATTTATATTTCTGAATGTGGACGTACATCAAATGTTACTTTGGCAACCGGCTTTTGTCTTTGGTATGAAGTTTAGATGCTGGTACATTGTGAGCAAAGACCCAAGAGGGATCAGGTCTGGACTTCTTTGCTGTGATCTGAAGGACACATATACGATCTTGTCTTCTTATTATCACATACAGTCATGTGCTACATGATGGTGTTTCTGCCAACGACAGCTCGTGTAAACAGAGGTGGTCCCAAGATTACAAGGGAGGGGTATGGTTCCTGTGGCCTAGTGATATCACAGTGAGGGATGTGAGTGTGACGGCTGTTGTGCTGACAGCTGGGCACGAGCAGGGCAATACGACGGGACAGAAGATGGTGAACGGCTGGTAACTGTGCTCTCGAATCACCCTTGCCATGGTTATTGTGATGCTCTTCTACCTACAAAAATACAAAGCTCACTGAGAAGCCTTGTGCTGTGTTCCACACTGTAGCTGCATTTTGTGCTTTCTGTATTTCTTTTACCTTTTTAGTTATTATTGTTGTTAGAGAGAGCACATGTGTGCCATCCAATGCCTGCGGAAGGGAGGGGGTGACTGTGAAATCAGTTCTCCATTTCCAACTTATGTGGGTTTTGGAGATTGAACTTAGGTCATCAGGCTTGAATAGCAAGCTCCCTTACCCACTGAGCCATCTTGCTGGCCCTTCTGTGTCCCGTGATTGGCCCGTACCACCTAGCTTTGTGTAAAGATGGTCCACGATATCTACATCAGAGAGTCACTCAGCAAAGCTTTCCTCAGTCCACATCCCTGTCATTAAGCAACACAAGATATAATCATACTTTTACCTCAAATAAAAAATTCTTGCACCAACCCAACTACTATTTACACACTAAGAAGCAGTGAGCACTCAGACCAAGTCCTCCGAAGGTGAAACGAAGGTATTAACTGCAGATTACTATCAAGAGGTGAGGTCATAGGCAGTTTAAAAAACAACCCACTTTTCAGAATCTTCAGAGCACACAGAATCAGTTTAGAGACTTACAACAAGCAGAGCTGTTCCCCAGCGTCCAACCTGACTAGAAGATTCCCAAGCCTCTTCAGGACTCACCAGAGACGCGCGGGCCACAGCCTCCACCACTGCGTTGAACACCTTCTGGGGCAGGCGTAGCAGCGTGGTGCCACTGTCCACGATGGCTTTGTCTGCGTTGTACTGAAATGGGGAGGGAGAGGACACTGAGTGTGCCGTGTTCCCCACCCACGTGCCTCCATCCCACCACCATCCCTCGGCATCCGCCGCTCACGCGGCCACAGGAGCTCAGTGGTGGCTACGTGTCGTTTTATACTCTTCGGGCCAATATTCTGACTCTACAGAGAATCTGAGGCCCAAGAAAGGAAAGGGACAGGACCACAGTCCACAGATGCTCCTGGCAGAACCTTTCACCTCCTTGGGGTTGGCCGAGTTACCTCCTTTCCCCATGAGGTCAGAGAGATGAGCCATGGACTTTGGAGGGTGAAACAATCCTTTAGAAGCTACTTCCACGAACTGTTCAAATACCCACTTTCTATTACTTTACAAGAGGAGAAAGGGAAGGACAGTGTTTTCAATGACAACCATATTTGCATTTGGGAAGGAAAGTTAATACCAGAGGCGTATACATGAGAACAGTTTGTGTTCCATTTCATCTGATTCTGTCCCAGGGTTCTTTAATGGTAGATAAGGGCCTCTGATGAACAGTTCAGATTCATAGATTTAAGACTGCGGCACTGGGACAGACCAGAAATTTATCAGAGGTATTTGTGCAAATGTGCTTTTGAGGGCATGTGATAGTCACGGAGAGGGGAAGGGCTGCAGGGAGCCACATGGTGAATGGCTGGTGGGCTTCAGAAGGAATTTAAGAAGGCACATGATGGGCTAAAGAAATGGCTCAGCAGTTAAGAGCACTGGCTACTGTTGCAGAGGACCCCAGTTCGGTTCCCAGCACCCACATGGCAGCTAACAACTGTCTTTAACTCTGTTCCAGGGGTCCAACACCCTCTTCAGACCTCTATGGGCATTGTATAATGCTCACACACATACAGGCAATACACTCATACACAAAATTGGCGCACAAGACTGCTGCTCTCTAAAGTCGTCATAATCCTAACGTTATAACGCAACAAGCAGCAAATACAGTGTGGGGCAGGGCATATGATGTGAGATGTCGTACCACAGCTGTGAGGTCTGCCTAGTGGTGGTGTTCACGCAGTGCCTTTAGGAAACTCTTCCTCCAGAGTTGTCCATTGGGAGGGGGGTGCATGGAGGATAAGCCTGTGACAGGTTCTCTGTTTAATTCTGCTTATGTTTAATCTCCTCTGCTCCCCTATCCTGATAAAAGTCCTCTCCAACAGAGGTCAAGTGCAATCAGGCCAAGATGATCGGTGAACATGAAGATGACGTTCTCTTAACTTCATCTCAAACTAATTCTTCCCTTATCAAGCCAGGATGTCGAGAGGAGGCCGTTTTGGGGTGTGTGTATGGAATTCATTGATTTGAACTTACCATATATAAAGGCCCGCTGTCGCCTTGTAAGGATCCTCTACTACCCTCTACTGTGACACACCTGAGGGCTGATGCTGAGGCCCCTGACCACCCACAGCAGATAGGGCAAAGGTACTCACCTCTCTGCAGTCCAGGTTAAGGCTCTGGCCTCCGATTTCCAGTTTCAGGATCTCTATCTGATAGTACCACTCCTCCTTAATCGGCGTATACCAGATGTCTCCTCTATACAAAGTTGGTTCGATTCCACCCAGGACCTGGGGGGAAATATTTACAGGTGTAACTATTTAGCAGGTGTAAGAGGGGGAAATAGGCTCATATATCAGGAGCCAAGCACTCAGGGAGAAGTAGCGCAAATCGGTACTTTCACTGTATTGTGATTAGTCTACAGTAGAGATGCTTGAACACTGCTATCCATTCAGGGAAGGTTGGAGTGGGGTGTGTGGGGGGGTCATGTCCCATAAACCTTGCCCTAGTCTAACCAAGAGACCCCAGAGATTTGTTTTCCTTATCTGTGGCCTCAGATTCAATAAGACATCCCCCAAATGAATGCACTGGAACAGTTACCCATGCTGACTGGCATTAATTTAGCGCCACAGACGTCAGAGCCAAGGAAAGTAGACCACAAGACCACACTGCTTTGCAAAACCAAGAACGTTAACCACAATCCCAGGCCACCCTGTCCCCTCAGGAGGAGGCAACAAACTGCTGGGAATCCATCAGCAGGGGGCAGTGACTTGGGAACAGGTCCTGGGCCTGCCTCGCAGAGGGTCAGGGTGCACCCCCAGACACGGGTCCCTCTTCTCTACTCCTCTGTCCCCCGACTTCAAGTGCCTGGTTACAGCGCCCCCACCAGGGAAGCTTGGGCTGCGGCACCCCCATGGGGGATGATTTTGATTTTGTTTCAATATAAACCTTTTTGCTGGGTGGTGTGTGGCTGTGTTGGGGTGGAAGAGATGGTGTGGGGGTAAAGGAGGTTGGGGTGGGACAGAGAGAAATGGTGAAGGAAGGAGGAGGGAGAGAGACACAGGTGTCCCCACCAACTATGTGAAATCATGAGTAACAATGCCCTCCTAGAGAGGGGTGCCTGCCAGAGGTCCCCACTGTGCCTCGCTGCTCCCGAGAGCCTTGTGCTTTGCATATCTTCAAAGAACAGTAAGACAGCTAGGGCGGAATTGGAGAAGGAATGAGAGTCATATTTAGATGGCAGGATCATAAGATGAAAGGAATACCTAATTATCCATGTTTTCAAGGTTGTATGACAAGGATTATGAAAATGTTATGGTACCTAAATTTTAAAATTTATTATTTTTATTTTATGCGTATGAGTGTATTGCCTGCCACATGTATGTGCACCGTGCCACGCAATGCCCATGGAGGTCAGAAGAGGGCGCTGGATCCCCTGTAACTGGAGTTATGGACAGTTGTTAGCTGCCAGGTGGGTGCTGGGAGTTGAACCGTGCTCCTCTGCAAGAGCAGCCAGTGCTCTTAACTGTTGAGCTGTCTCTCCAGTTCTGGTACCTTTTTTTTTTTTTTTTAACCGCATCTAAGCAATACCCATACAGTACCTATATCAGGCTGTGTGTCTAGTATTTCCGATCTGGTTTTAATAATACAGAAACATCCCCACCATTTGTGATTTTTCGTCCCTTTAAGACTGAAAGATACCCACAAGACTACCTCCGTTGGTACCAGATCCGGCTACTGGTAATCCAGCCCCACACATCTGCATGGAGAAGACATCCGGAATCTTTGCCTGGGCCACGAGGGAATCAAAGAAGGTCTCCAGAGAGCTTGAGGGCTGCAGGAGGTGGGAAAGAGGAACACTGCTTCACGATGCACAGTGCATACAAGGTCACGGGGGAAGACACTGCCCCTCCCCCCAGGGCTCTTGGTCTTTCTAGTTAGCATCCTCACAGGTAATCAGCACACAAACTTGAGACCAGGTGTGATCACTCAAAAGCCTCCCACTGCGCTCCCTCCCACATGGCATTTGAGGCTGTATTGCAAAAATAAGACAGCAGCTTCAGAAACTAAGATGTTGCCAGGCTGTCTATCACCACGCCAGGAGAGGCGGTGAGCAAGCCTGTGGGCGTAGGTTATTGATCTGGGCTTAGATACTTGAGGTGAGAGAAAACAGTTGTTCCAGGAGCTTCTGTCATGGCTCAAGTCCTAGTGCCTCCCTTTACCACAGCCATCCAACACACAAAGAAAGGCTGACACCCAGGGGCCAGGCAGCCACACCCTAGTCCCCAGGGACTCCAGCCACTGGGAGCTTTGGAAGCCTGGTCTCTTCCCACTGTAGAATTGCACATGACTCTGTGCAGTGCCTCTCCTGCACACAGCTGTATTTTCGGAGGACACCCCCATTTCTCTAGAATAACAAAGATGAATGGAGATGCTTTGGAAATAGCCCTGAGTTGGGGTGGGCCAGCATTGCAGGTGGCCATGAAGGAGTTAGTGGTAAGACTTGAGTTTAGACTTTGGCTTGGACAAATGGAGACACTAGAGAGGCCACCATGAGTTGCCAGGATTTAGGGGGCGGTATTTGAAACAGAGTCTGTTTCCCAGGCACCCCTTGATCTCAATGCCCCTCTTGCCTTGAGCTCCAGAGGGGCTGGGATTTCAGGTGTGCACCTCCACGCCCCCTTGTGTGGTCAGTTCCATAAACATATCAGTGGTGGTGGCAGAGGCTGTGGGTGTCCCCTGATGCCCGGAGACACACTACACAATGCCTGCTTACTAACTGTGACAACTGGAGTGAGTATCAAGCTCCTTATGAACGACACAGAAGCCTCCCACTGGCTCCGTCAGTTTCTATCTGGCCACTCGTTCTACCTCTGCTCCTGTGAGAGCTGGATCCCACTGTGGATCCAGCATCATCTCCACATGTGATCTCTATCTGCAGAGAGGTAGTGTGTCTGGATGGACAGTGAGACAAAGTCAACTGTGGGGTATGTGAGATCTGGTGGGGACTCAGCGTGGTCCCCCTGTCTGAGAGGCAAGGAAGGGTACACACGTCCTTTATGCCTGGCCAACCCTGGGACTCGCTCTGATTAGTCCTCTGTTTTCCAGTCTGGGAAATGGGATTGTGGTTGGCTTCCAGACCCATTCAGAGGCTAAAGAGCCTCCAGGTTAGTATAAAGGGCCTAGCCTGCAGTCTGTTATGATTCCTAAGACTGGGCTTAAGAACCCCCTCAAGGATTTAAAAACCTACAGCTGCTGAGAACCGGTCTCAGAGGACCCAAGGAGGTATGCAGTGGGGCCTGGCATTTGCATCAAGACACCCCCTGGTGGGACTCACCAGGGGCATCAAACACCAGGGTCAGCAGAGTCCTTGGCCAGCCATGCTGTTTGAGACAGGGCACCTAACCTAGACCACCCAGTTGGTCTTCCAGACACGGCCCACTCCTTACAGATCCTGTTGCTGGCTCCTCCCTCTGGCCAGCCTAAATCTAATTGTCAGTAATCTTGGAATTTCACAGAGGATGAGATTAAAACGTCATATGAAGAGTCTGGACCCCGACCTCACCCCAAACCCCAAAGTACTTGTTCACATTATTAATTCCATTTAATTTAGGTTTACTCTCTGATCTTCAGAATAATTAGCGCAAAATCAATTACACTCTTACCCTCCATCTCCAGTCACATGGAGATGTCATGCTTTGCCCAAGGTCACAGTGTCAGTGGAAAGGGACCGAGGAACCCAAGTTTCCACCAGTCTGCACATCTGTGAAGTCTGCCCATGGAAACGAGCACAAAGGGGCTCCTGAGTCCGGCCTGGCTCTGCAGCTGGGTAAAAGTGACCTGAGGCTCTGGTAGCCTCTCCACTGGGGCCCTATGTCTAAACAAGGAGAGTAGGACCTCAGAGTCTGCCTTGTGGGAACAGGAGCGGTGTGAAAGGCCATCCCGTGATGTCCTCAGCCTGGTGCCTGATTGCTGTTGCCTGTTCTCTGGGGGAAGCCGAGGGCTAGGATTCCCCTTCGGCTCCCACCTGCGGCACTGCTGACAGACTGGGGCTGGAACACATGTCCCATAGATGGGAGAAAGTGCTTCCTTTCCAGATTGTCCCGGGCAAGGAGGCCCGAGGCGCACGGCGTATTACTTTCTTGTGCACTGAGCCAGCGTTCAAAGTCCAGGTTGAAACAGGGGGCCAGGGAGTGGCACCCAGTGGCAGGGCCAGGGCAGGTGACTCCTCCCTTGTGCACATAAGCCTGCCTGTCTCGGGGCCCAGGGCACACCCCTGATGTCATATCCGCCCGTCTCAGGCAACTCTTCTGGGTGGAAACTCTGCCACCTCCCACCTTTCTAGAATACCATTATTTCTTTGGGTCAGTGCCAAGAACAACACTGAGAGAGTACCCACTCATGCCCTTCCTCATTTGGGGAAGGCTCTGATTTCTCCCTGGTTATCCTTGGAGGGTCTGGCTATCTTCAGGGCATCTCAACGTGTTCTGGTTACAGGTATCTTCTTAGACAGGACAGCAGCATGGGGCTCTTAGCTAAGGGAGGGCACCTCTACTTGTTGATGGCTTAGCGTCACCCATAGGCCTTATCTTTGTGTGATAAGAATGTTAATGTGCATGTGCCCTTTGAATGTCACCTTAGCACCCCTAAGCAAATCCCACAATCAACGTGGCTCATATTCTGCCAATATTATTTACTTATTTTTAGGTGTATGAGTCTTTTGCCTGCATGTATGTAAGTGCACCTATGCCATGCAATGCCCACCGAGGCCAGAATTGGGCACTGGATCCCCTGGAACTGGAATTATAGATGGCTGTTAGCTGCCATGTGGGTGCTGGGAATCAAACCTGGGTCCTCTGCAAGAGCAGCCAGTGCTCTTAACCGCTGAGTCGTCTCTCCAGCCCCCACCATTATTTTTTTAACAGAACTAAAATAAAGGACAACAAACAGAAATCAAAGCTAAGCTGGGAGGTGGCTTAGTTGGCAATGTGCTCTCAGCACAAGTGTAAGATTCTCCAGAACCCAAGTAAAAAAGCCGGGCATAGCAGTGCATGCCTGTAATCCCAGAGCCAGGCAGGTGGAGACAGGGGCTCCCTGGAGTTTGTGGCTGGCTAGTCTGGCCGAATCAGTGAGGTCCAGGCTCAATGAAAGGTCTTCTCAAAAATAAGATGGAAGCCAAGTGAGGAAGATGCCTGATGTCAGCCTTTGGCCTCTACACACACCTGTGCACATGCCCTCATCCCCCCATCCCACAAGCTCAAGGCTAATGTGACGTTTCAAGTGTGCCATTTACCTTAAACTATAGTTACGTTATAGAAATGCTTGGAAGCCCGTGTGAGTGCTGGTCTCTTTCACCCATGTGACTCTCAGTGGAAGCCACCCAGGCTGGCCCAGGACCCCACGTTCAATGACTGGTTTTTGCAGTCTTATCCCATCACTTGATTCACTTGGATCTATGGACCTGCCTTACCTTGGCCAACGCGGCATAAGCAAGTCCCAGGATTCCATTCCACTTAATCCCAGGCAGAAAGAAATTCTCCGACTCAAAAATAGTGGCAATGTTGAGAAGGAAAGAGCTGTTGAAGCCCTTGGGGATGCTGACGACGTCCTCGCCCACCAAGCCCGTCCAGCTTCCCTGTGTGTACCTCACGGTGACGTCAAAGCCCTTGGGGCGGTACGTGCTGGACCTGCCAAAGAGAAGAAACGTCTTTGCTGTCCTGTCCACGAGCTCATGCTCTCTGAACCACGATGGTGACACAGCCGATCATCATGGCTGACAGTGTCGTATACTGTCTATGACAAGTGATGCTTACTGACAGCAGTGTTCGTGTTGATCAAGGCACAGTCTTTCCAGACATAAGTATTAACTCTTAGGGAACTCTGTTTCTGTGTCACGTGGAAGGGATGCCATGGTGTCGGTATGAACCCCATGAGTTTTGGTCTCCCCCGTTACCAGGTTAAGTGTTCACTTAGCCATATCAGCCTCTGAAGGACACTGGGGTGGTGCTCAGTAACAGAGGGACGAGCTCTGTCATAGAGCAGGAGGTGCCACTATTTGACTCAGCAGCAACCAAGTCCCACCCCCAGGCCCCGGTCTCTCCAGCGTGATCCAGAGCTGTCCTTGCGTCAGTCCTTCCCTAAGACCTCAAACGTGGTAATCTTTGTATCAGAAGGCAGTTGACAAAGCTGATGGCAGCTGTGGGGCAGAGCACTGTGGTGTGAGCTAGAACCTGGCACGGGGGCAACACTGAGAGTAAGGGGTCCTGACACAGTGTTACGAGAACACAGGCAGGTGACGGAGAAGCAGAGGACGGTCCTCGCTCTTCGGGCTACACTGTGAGGAGAGACGGAGCACCTGACGTGAAATCTCACGCCATGCTGAAGTATCAGGGCAACCAGAGAGTAGGGCAGGGAGAGGGCTGAGCAGGTGATGTGGGGGAGGGGTCTCTGTGGTAGGAGACCATCTGTCGGAGTCCTCAGTGGACAATGGAGGTAAGCTCTCTGGGAGAGGACACCAGGAGGGAGGGAACAGAGGTCAAGGCCCTGGAGGCTCTAACCATGCAGGGCCATCTTTATGGCCTTATGAGTTTGAAAACTCTGCTGGACTGCAGGAAGGGACCCTTCCTAGGCAGCCCTTGGGCATTCAAACCAGGCTCCTTGAAGAAAAAGACCAAATTCATAAGTGAGGGTCAAATCACTGAGTATTTCTCATGGTTGCTGTTTGCCTGCAACCCCGTATCTCTCAGTTTTAAGTCTGCAATGTTAACACACATTAATGTGTCTCTGTTTGGGAATACTCGGACCTGTGCAATCTTACTTGGGGCCCAGAGGGAAGTTGTGAGAGATAATAGGGCTTTTTACTGATGAACTTTAAAATTTTTATTTACATATCTCTGTGTGTCTGCCCACTTGTGAGTGCAATGCTCATGGGGACCAGAGGAGGACGTCCGATCACCTGGAGTTGGAGATACAGATGGTTGTGAGACACTTGATGTGGGTGCTGGAAACTGAACTTGGGTCCTCTGTAAGAGCAGCAAGTGCTCTTAACTGCTGAGCCATCTTGTCACCCCCCCTGCCCCCATGGAATTATTTTGACATATGTAATAAGCTTTAAAAATGTCAACTGTCTTTAATTCAGTAATAGCTCTTCCAAGAGTCTGAGCCTGAGGACACATCCAGGAAACACTCCAAGGTCCCAGGAAATCATTATGCTTCATTTCTAAGAGGAAACATCATGGAGACAACCCAGTAAAAAGGGAACAGCTCAGTAAATGATGATTTATTCATTATTGTGGGCAATTAGAAGTGGTACTTACTACAAAAATTTAAATTTTTGTTGTTTTTATTTTTTCACGTGTTATGCCTGCATGTATGTAAGTGCACCCATGTCATGCAGTGCTCACAGAGGTAACAAAAGGGTGCTGGATCTCCTGGAACTGGAGTTACAGATGGTTGTTGGCCACCATGTGGGTGCTGGGATTCGAACCCAGGTCCTTCCTCTGCAAGTGCAGCCAGTGCTCTTAACAGCTGAGCCATCTCTCCAGCCCCTACTAAGAAAATTTAAATGACAGAGAGAAAAGTCAAAAGGAAAACTTCTACATGTGGCAAAATCTTCTTTGAAACTATTGGCATGTAACGTCAGCAGTGTTGCGCTGAGTGGTGGATTTGGGGAGGAGACCCCTGTTCTTGTGAATAACCGTTCCACATTTTCTGCACACCTGACTTTTATAACCAGGACAAAATGTTATTTTAATCATGTCAACAAAGTCTGGAGCAATTTAATTCATTCTCATTTCATTAATGGGGTACAGACTTTGCTTACTATTTAAGGTCACTCCACCATGGTCCTAAAAGAGACAGAAAGTGAATCTTCTGTGCACAGTATAATGGTTGATGTTGTCAACATGACCTGATTTGGAATCACGTAGGAGACACTTCCCAGTGCGTCAGCGAGGACATTTCTAAAGGGGTTTAACTGAGGATGGAAGACCCACTGTAAATGTGGGTGGCACTATCCCATGGGCTGGGGTCTCAGACTGAATAAAAAGGATTAAGAGGCCGGAGAGATGGTTCGGAGGCTAGGAGCACTGGATGTTCTTGCAGGGGATCTGGGTTGAAATCCCAGCACCCACATGGCAGCTAATAACCATCTGTAACTCCAGTTCCAGATCATCCGATGCCCTCTTCTGGCCTCTGCGGGCACTGCACAACAGGGGTACACTTAGATGCGTGCAGGCATGACACTCATCCACACAGAATAATAAATTTAGAAAAAAGGGTACAGGAAGCATGAACACCAGCACTCAGCTCTGTCATGCGACCTAAGGCCTCAGGCTCCTGCTGCCCTGACTTCATCACCATGGTGGACTGTACCTTGGACTGGGAGCCAGAATAAACCCCTTCTCCCTTCCTTCCTTAAGTTTCTTTTGCCTGGGTATTTTATCACAGCAAAGGAAAAGAAACTAAAACTGTAGCCTCAAATTCTGAGACAAAATAAACCCTCCCTCTTTCTGGCTGCCACTCTCAGGCATTTTGTCATAGCAACAAGATACGGCATACCCATCTCCTGAGAGTGGAGGGGTAGAGACAGAAAAGTGGGAGCAGATGGGGGCATACCGTACCCCCAGTGATCCACCAGAAATTACCCATGTGAGATTCACAGTAAGGCCTATCAGGACTTGGGTATTTGAGAATGATCAAATGCCAAGTTTAGTGTCAAGGCAAATCTGGGGTGCCAGACACACAGGAGGGGGTTAGAGTGTCTGTGCTGAGAAGCAGCAGGAAAAGACCAAATTCTTCAATTTCCTTTTACACATGGACCATTCCTCAAGTTCAGAAATGCTTGTAGGGAGCTGGAGAGATGGCTCAGTGCTTAAGAGCAGTGGCTGCTCTTACAGAGGACCCAGGTTCAGTTCCTAGCACCCACATGGCAGCTAACAATGGTCCATAACTCCAGTTCCAGGAGATTTGACACCCTCTTCTGAACTCTGTGGTCATTGCACGACATGGGTATACTTACACACACAGAGACAAAACAGTCATACATATAAAATAAAAGTAATACAATATTTTAAAAATACTTGAACATGGACCAGGCGTGGTGGCACATGCCTTTAATCCCAGCACTCAGGAGGCAGAGGCAGGCGGATCTCTGTGAGTTCAAGGCCAGCCTGGTCTACACAGTGAGTTCCAGGACAGCTGGGGCTACAGGGAGACCCTGTCTCAGAAAGACCGAAAAAAAAACTTGAACATGACAGTGTAGGAGCTGGCACACCTTTCCTATGAAGGGCCCACAGAGAAATAACCTAGGCTTTGCTCACTTGAAGACTCTACTGCAGCTGGTGTACAGCTGAAGAAACAGCCACAGATGGCGTAGAAGCAAATGTGTGTTGCTGTATCCCAAGAAAACTTTGATTATAAAAGCAGTAGCCAGCCAGACGTGGCCTGCTGTCTCTGGTCTGTGGACCGTTGGTCTAGCCGATTGGCCGTCTGCCCCTTACAGTCTACAGGGCTGGGGCTCCCCTTTGAAAGCTGTTTCGGTTCATCTTCCGGCTACGGCCTGTTCCTTAGAGTAAGAGCCCACACCGCTGGCCTGAACAGTCACACAGTGCGTTCTCCTTGGCTTCCCGCTAAGACTGCTGGATATTTGGGTGCTGCTTGCAGAAAAAGGAAAATTATAGTGCCGAGGTTCACATTTAAGGACTCACAAGTTCAAACTCTGCGTATGACTCAGGACCGAGTTATGGAACTTGTCCATACCTCGGCTTCTTAAATTAAAACATGGGGATAACCTAGCACAGCACCTTCTCAGGTTAACTACATGAAATACTTAGACCAAAATCCTGGCACACACCAGGTTCACAACAAGAAGATCTATCAGTATAATTACCTAATCACTTCCTATCGTTCCCTGATCCGTGAGCTATTCAAGGTGTTTCTTCTTGTTCTGGAAAATATTCCTATTGAACAACTCTACTCAGTGTCCTAAACTGTCTCAGGCTAAAGTCCAGGTGGCTTGTAAAAAGGGATACCATTCCCTGTATGGAAGACTCAGCTGAGGAGTTAGGGGCTGGGATGGAGCTTCAGGACCAAGTACAACAGGCTTCTAAATGGTCCAGTTCTGCGATTGGGACCAGTGCTGCCCACAGGACCTGCTCTGATGGGGGTGACCATCTCTGTCTCTGCTGTCCAGTAGGAAGCCACACATGGCAACCCGAGCCCTGGACCATGATGATGGTGCTAAGGACAGAAATTTCCACTCCCTTTAGCATTAATCAGATGGTTCTGTGCAGTTCGTGCTAACCCTTACAGAAAACACAATCTGAGATAATGTGGGAAAAGCTCTAATTGTAAGCGCATCCTCTTCTGGGTTTCTTTACCGAACCTCAAAGGTGGAAGAGCCCCGGACAGGCCTCAGGGGCAACCCTGCGGGCTATTAGCACACAGTCTCCATCACTTTAGATGAAAAAGATCCCTAAATCTTCATTGACTATCATGCTACCTCTTGGCACCGAACTGCATTAGCTCTCAACCGCTCTGCACATTAATTAAGTATATCAAGAGAAAAGCCGAAATGAGCATCTCACTTGCAAGGTCCATTCCCTGGGTGACCAGGAAAGCATCTGCTCATAGCAACAAAAACAGTTCAAACCAGATTCAGAAGACATTCTACCTCTGCTCAGAGAGT